TTTTATAAAGGGCTTTTATTAAAGTCCTCATAGCATCCCTCCATTCTGGTGTGGCTAAGGCTTCAAAAATAGACTTTGGGATGGGTTGAGAGGAAATGGAGGCTAGAAAGGCATAGTAGGATGGGGACAACAAGTTGTAGGAAAGGTATTTGGAAATACAATGAGCTATAATTTCCTCTTACCTTTTCTCAAGGCAATGGGTAGATCAAGGTCTGGAAATGAGGGTGCTAGTGTAGGAGGTAATGCAAATGTCCTCTCTTCAGTAATTAGAAGTGCTTGAGACTCAACTAGATGTGTGGGATCAACCTATGTTTGCCTTAGCCTTTGCTACTGGTACCACTTCTGGAGAATAGGATGAGTGATAAAAATAGCAAGACTAGCAAGAGGAGGGGGAGGAGCAGGAATGAAAGACCTCAAAGGAGAGGATCCCTCCATGGGAATGGGGGTAATTGTGAAGGGCTCAACACAAGACTCAACTGGAGTTGGAAAAGGAAGGGATAAAGAAAACAACTCAAGAGATCTCTCCCCCTCAGAATGTCGATTATAAAAAGGAACTAACTCTACAAAGGTGACATCCATGGAAACAAAACGGGTGCCACTAATGGGATCAAAACAATAGTACTCTTTCTATGTGGAAGCATAACCAAGGAAGATACACTTCTGAGCCTTTGGGTCAAACTTATGTCTCTTAAAACTAGGAATGCGGACATTACAAGTGCAACCAAAGACCTATAAAGCAATGGAGAAAATCTCAACACCAGGAAAAGAGGACTCTAAAAGGAGATTTTAACCCCAAGACTCGAGAAGGCATGTGGTTAATAAGGTAGGTAACTGTTAAAACAGCATCACCCCAAAACTTCATAGGAACATGGGTAGCAAAAAGGATGCTCCTTGCAACTTCCACAATATGTCTACTTTTCCTCTCTGCTACTCCATTTTGTTGTGGAGTGTGGGCACAAGAACTCTAAGGAACAACCCCAAACTTCTCAAAATAGGAGGTAAGGTCCTCAAAATATTCCTTAGCATTGTCTGATCGGAATATTTTGATGCAAGTGTTAAACAAAGTGAGTTGGTGTTCATGGAACTGTTGCACAAGTTTAGGTACTTCAGCACAAGAGCGCATAAGGTAATCCAAGTATATTGTGAAAGATCATCAATAAACAGGATGAAATATCTATAACCACCCATACACGGTAAATGGTAAAGCCCCCACACACCAGAGTGAATAATATTAAAAGGAATAGTCGATCTTTTATTACTTGAAAGATAAGTGTTCTTACAATGCTTTGAGAACTCACAAGACTCACAATGTAGACTCGATAGACTGATTCCTTTAAATAAATCTGGGAACAAATGACTCAATGTAGAAAAAAGACAAATGACCCAAATGACTATGACATAACATAATACGACTAGTGGACTTTGAAACAAATGCAATTCTCCTAGGTTGTACTTGGGTCTGTTTAGGCATGTCTAACAGATAGAGATCCCATTCGCCTCATGGCCACTCCCAATCACCTTCTGAGATTTCATGTCCTGAAACACACAATATGAAGGGAAAAAGGTAACACTACAATTCAGGGATTAAACAAATTATTAACTAAAAGAAAATTGGTATTAAGTTTAGGTACATGAAGAACAAATGAGAAGGTTAAGGCATAAGAGGTCTTAATGTCTCCCTTTCCCGTGATAGGGGCAAGAGAGCCATCAGCAAAGGATATGTTATCTTGGACAGAAAGGAGTTGGTACGAGATGAATAACTGTGAAACACTGGTCATATGGTTAAAAGCACCAAAATCAATTATCCAAGGGGTTTTATGAGTACCTGAGGCATAAACATGATGTGTAGTGGCACGAATACCTAAGTGAGCATATGTGGAGGAAGGAACGGTCTCTGAATGAGATGTAGCAATGGACTCCAAATGACTGATTATTCAGCCATACTTCTCATACGCAGCCCTGGCGGCTGCAAGTTGTTCTCCCACTAACTTCTTTCCACCCTATCCTTGTTCACCTTGTGAGGAGGTGGCTACATTTGCATTTCCACCTTTTTCCACCATTTTCTTTCTTGAGTCTGGCAGGAATGAGCTCTAGATGTAGCTTCCAACAAGTGTCTTTAGTGTGTTTAGGCTTCTTGCAGTATTCACAAATAACATCTTTCTTCCCAGTGTTAACCTTTGGCTTCATCTTGGCATTGGCATAGTGATCAACCTGCGGCTCGACAAACTGAACCTATCTTCTGCTCTCCTCACTGCTCACCATAGCATACACCTAAGACAAAGTCACCTCATCCTTTCCTGAAACATTCTACCTCACAATATCATCCTTCGAGTTGAGTCCAGTGAGGAACTCAAAGACCCAATTTCTCTCCACCAACTTCCTATATGTTTTTGCATCCTTTGTGCAACCCCAAACAACAGTCTCCATTAGATTAATCTCTTGCAAAAGAAATTCCAACATAGAGAAGTAGACAGCTAAGGGCTCCTCCCCCTGTCTTAGATTATTCACATCATGCTTCAATTTGTAGGCCCGAACAACATTAAGCTTTTGAGAATAGGTCTCTTGTACACTATCCCACATTTCTTTTACAGTTTCCATCCACAGGTAATGCTGACTAATGTGTTGTTGCATAGAATTCACTGACCAACCCACTATTGTGTAGTTTTCCTACATCCACCTTTCATAGGTAGGATCATCCTCCTCCAGTTTCTTCTTGCTCCCGGTAATGTAACCCCATTTTCCTCTACTACACACATGTATCTTAATAGATTGAGACCAAGCTATATAATTGGTCCCATCTAACTTCACAGTAGTCACAGCCCCAAAAAGATTCTCCACTAGCCCCCCATGTCAAAACCCAGAATTTGTGGAATATTTGGTCTCTCCTCCAGTTTGCTCCATTGAGTGAACGGATGCAAATGAAAATCAAATTAGGGTTTTACTAGGCTAGATTTACTGTTTTGAGCAAAGAACAACCCTTCAACCTCCCAAAAATAGGGTTTCACAGGACCCGACAAGATGGGGAGAAAGAGAGAAACTTCAACCTCTCCTACTAGAGGTTCCAGAACTCAATCCAACCAAAACCGCTCAATAGAAATCAAAAGGCTTACCTCTAATCCCCAAGCACCTGGTTCAAATTGTCTCTACAACATGTAACAAGATTTCTCCAGTTATCTAGGGTTTTCGGGAAAAGTCTCCAAGAACCTACTTGGGCTTCAACTAAGGATGAAAACCTCCACAAAAACTCTCCAAAAACCCTCCTAACTGGGCTGCATAAGTTGTTGATTGATCAACCAATCAGTTCTCCATACACACTGTGTAGTGTATGGGCAAAGAAAAGAGAAAGAAGTCGAAAGTGAGAACCTGCTCTAATACCAAGTTGAGAAACACATCTATAGTAATTCAGAAAACATAGGAAAAGAAAGAAAGGGAGAGAAAGGAGAAGGAAGAGGTTTCAACAATAGGTTGTAGAAGAAGAAGAGAAGAGAGAAAAGAAGAGTTCGAACCTCTCTCTCTCTAGCCCCCTTGATCTATTTTATTAACTTAATTCTAAAATTAAGTACAATTACTTGGATGCCCTTAATGGGGCGGCCAGCACTAAAGAAATAATTAAAGAAAACAAAAAGAAAGCCCATAACTAAGACTCATAACCTTAAACACTACTTAAAAGAAATAAAAAACACTAAGGCCCATTCGACCCATTCTCACTATAGAGCCCAACAACATTAAGGGCATCCATTGGATGAAAGTGGGCCGGAAAATTGTAAAACAAGCCCTAGTGCAATGGTCCAATATACCCCGACAAGTGGGAAGGCTAAACTAAAGGGTGGGGGAAATGCTAGAGCCCAAGAAGGCACTCCAGCCTTAAGCCAGTAGGCCCATGTAGGTCACCAAGCCCAGGAAGCAACCACTAATGCAAGCCCAAAACTTTACACTCTTCCCTTGCGATATGTCTATACACGCAACCATGCCAAGACTCTCTCCATGCATAATGTGAATGTAATGATGATAAGAGTAGTGCATCGAGTCTATCAAAGGGTCAGGGTGTAGTGAGAGTAGGATATCAGAAATCATAACTAACACATTCTCCTCATCTTCTTCTCTCTCTTTTCCCCCTCCCACCCTTACTTTGTTCTCTCTTTTTTCTAGAGGAAGAGCTCTCTCAAAGAAGCTTAGTTCACAGGGGTTTCATCAGACATCTTCCATTACCCTGGTTCGATAATCTATAACAGGGAAGAAATTGAGGATGTCACCCATAGAAGTAGAGTAGGATGGGCAAAATGGAGGGATGCATCCAGAGTCTTGTGTGATGAGAGAACACCACTTAGACTAAAAGGAATTTTTCATAAAATAGTTGCAAGGCCAACAGATGGAGTAGAGTATCGGGAAGCCAAGAAACAACATGCCCTAGCAGAAATGCAAATGTTAAGATGGATGAGTGGGAAGTTGAAAGGATGGGATCTGAAATGAACTCATTCAAAAGAACCAAATAATAGCTTAAATAGGTTATAAAATGAGAGAAAGCAAACTAAGATGCTTTGGGCACGTGTAGAGGACCATCTACATCACCAATAAGAAGTAATTTGTTACAAGTTGAAGGGACTAGAAGAGCTAGGGGCAAACCAAAAAAGATATGGGTTGAAATAGTAAGATATGATTTAATGTCTCACAGTTTAACAGTGGATATGGTATTGAACAAAACAAAATGGCAGAACAGGATTTATGCAGCCAACCCCATATAGTTGAGAGTTGAGACATGGTTTAGATGATGGCATGTGATGATATGAAATGGAAGCCTATTTTGGTTATAAATATTATATTGATCTAATTTCAAAATTGATTATTAATTTTGTATCTATGAATGATAAGATATCAAAAACTTCAACATAGCTTCTCTCTGAATTGTTGAGAAATGTATACACTTTTAAAGAACAAGTACATTACCAAATTACAGGAAAAAGATTCAACTCAGCATTAGTAGTAGAGTTAAAAGTACATACCTTTGAAAAGTTTAAAATATATAAACAATCAACTAGTAAAGGCCGGAATTTGAATCTCTGTGCATCTACAACCTTGGTCACTGCAGAAATTTCTACAAGACTTGGCTCATTAGAGTCACGGGTATGGTCTTCTCCACACTGAGATACCTTATGTGAGGGACCGGAAGAACCTTCATCTGGGACATCCTGACTTGTTACACCTCCTGCCTTTCTCAGCACATCCAAAATTGTAGGCTGCTTGAGTTTCCCATTAACATCTGAGTTTTCTGGTGCTTTTGAGTTTCTTTTGCGTTTTGAAGCTCCACATACTTTCTTTTGCTCAATTTTTTTGTCCATGGTCATCAAATGGTTAGACTTGCTTAAGAACAAAGATTCAGAATTTCCCACAGGAAGGTGAAGCTCAGGTAGGGAAAGTGGGTACGATTTGAGGGTGATATCCAGTAAGCTTTCCACAAAACTGCATTAGCTAGATTCTTCAGATTCTTTATTGGTATTAGACAAAGCCATGAGAAACATAATGCTCGTTGATATTACATAACATTATTCTGAATTGATTCAAATGGATTTAGTAGGTCTAATAAAAGTTGCTTAAATTAGAGAGCATGCACAAGGACATATATGTAAAAGGACTCCTTCAAAGAAAAAGGGCATACATGTGAAAGTATGCACTACTACAGATCTTAAATAGAGAAAGAGACATCAAACATCTTAATTCTTGGGTATTCACAAAAAGTAACAAATGCAACTTTAGACACTTATACTTTCAGATCTCTCTGGTAACACCGCTAGGCACATTTCCATATGAAATGATGACCACTTTACATTTTGTTTGCTGTTATAATAACATGTTAACATGCCAGAAAATTAAAATAATTTGTCTCTTCTTCAGATTCCATAGATGTCACTAAGCAACTATTGGCACTTAAAATGAGAAAAAAAAAATGCTTACCTGAAAATTTATCAACAATAATTATACATGTTTCTATATGACTATATCTTTCAAGTGTTTTTGCTTTCCTCATCTTGAGTTAGATGCCCTTTCTACTTTTAGAGTCCCCTCTTTATTGACATTTTGTTTTTGTGTCTAGGTTAACAGCCTATGGGTTAATGGAACAGAAATCTTTTATTATCTTTCTTCTTTCATAGGGATTCCTATAATACTCCAAGAAGCATAGATGTGAAGGGATAGGAGATCCATCATATGGATGGCCGAACTCAGCAAGAAGGTTGGGCGAAATTTCAAAAATTTTTTTACTCCCATCCGGGAGTCGTATTCCCAATTTAGGAAACTGCATTTTCAAGGTTCGTTCTTGTAACCAAACCGAACAAAATCTGAAACCAAGATTAGAGAGAGATATACCTGATACGGAATCCACGCAATAAGCTCCTCCCAGCGCAGGTGTTCACGCCCAAAGAGTGTACCAAATCCTCCCTCCACTGAAGATGACACAGCTTAAAATGAGGCAGGATCAACAAGTAGTTCTTCACAAGAACCTCTGAATCTTCAGTAAGAATCGAATGGGGTAGTGAGCACAGATTTAGAATTGTTTCTTCTAACAAGAAGCAATATCAAGATCTAATCTTGATCAGTTCCAAGAAAATGGAGATCGAACAGGGTAGGGCGGCAAGAGCAGGGAGAAAAAGAACTGAAGGCAGAAACAATCAAACTGAATTATCTTCTGTGTTGTATGTTTTTCAGATCCGCCTTGCTCCCTATTTATAGCCTTAAAGAGATGGTCTCCTAATCTGATTAGGAGTCTCTTGATCCAAATCTTTACTTGGATCTGAACTCTTTAAGTGATAAGGATAATCCCTTATCTTATCTACAAATCAAGATCAGTTATTCCTAATCAAATTAGGAGTTCCTTGATCCAAATCTCTATTTAGATCTCTAGACTCTTTAAGTGGATAAGAGTTATCCTCTTATTCGCTAACTGCCAGGACCCCTCGACCACACAACCAGCCAACGCATACAACCTCCCCCGGGGTTACACGCTTAGACTAGACGACAGCCTAGTCATATGGTTCCTTGTGGACCATACGCCTACTAAGCCTTTGCACTAAGGCAAAGAACAATGGGGACCTCGGCTATAAGCATCAGTCGAAGACCTCAGCCCATCGCGAACAAAGACACTAAAAAATATTCTAAGTACTTCGTCAAGTAGGAAGCACACCGTGGCCTCGGTCGCCCGAAGGCTCACACCCCAAACATCCCTAAGGAAAGCCAAACCAGGCCTACTAAGGCATACCCCTCGCCCCAACACCTCGGCGGCTTACTTCAGCCTCGTCCAACCAATTTTTGATGGGGTGGAAAACAAACCAAGAGAGCTAAGGCCTTCGCCTCCCTTTCCTCCTCGCTAAGGAAAGGGGCCCCGAACCCCTCGGCGGCATAGCTCGGCCTTGGATGTACTCCTTTAACTTAGCTTCCTAAGCGAACGACTAAGTAACAAGCCACCTCGGATAACTTCTTTACTACTTGTGACCTCTCGGAAGGGGGCATCGGCCCCTAAGCAAAAAAAAAAAAAAAAAAAAAAAAAAAAAAAAAAAAACAAGTACAAAAACAGATAGTAAAGGCACAAGTTATGCAAAAAGTGTATTTCATTCAGTATTTCCTGTCAGCTTTACAAAAACTGGCCTCAAATGGGGGAGGCCAAGCCCTTTACAAATATGACTCAAACAAAAAAGCAAAGAAGAGAACAAGGAGCAGCCTACGCAGTGTCCTCGACGGGAGTAGGAACCTCGACGACGTCAGCAACTAGGATCTCGACAGAAGGAACCTCGGCAGCGGAAGGGACCTCGGCAGCAAGAGGGACTTCAACTTCTGGGGCCCCCATCTTGTCCAATGGGAAGTCAAGCATCAGCTTCAGCACTTGAAACTTGGTGTCCTCAATAACCTCCAAGTAGGAGTCAGCCCCATAGTTGGTGAGGGCATGCTGATACTCGACAGTCGTCTTCCAATTCTCGATGCTGTCTTGAGCCTTCTCCTCGGCCTCCACCACTTGTGCCCGAACAGCCGCCAGGACCCCGTCCAGCTGGACGTGCCTTATCTCGGACTGCTTCAGCATTTCATCGACCTTCTTCAAGGCCTCTTTTAGCTCTGTGGTGAGAGCCTTCTCAGCCTTAAGATCCTCCTCCAAGACCTTCCGCAATTCCTTCTCATCCCGCGTGGCCAAGAAAAGAGACAAAGAAAAACTTGCTATCCCAATGGTGGACGGACATAGAGTTGTCGACAGTGCGGCCGCGGCAAGCCTGCAAATAGTATATGCCCGCCTCTTGAGGGTGTGGCCTCGCCACGAACATAGCCCTAAAGATTTTTTCAGTTAGCTCCACGTCTCGGAGTTGAGACATCACCAACACCGCGAAGATGGTCCTGAGGGCATTGGGGGCCAATTGTCTGATCGAGATGCCATACCACCTCAATAGCTCGGGGATAAGGGGATGAAGGGGGAACCTAAGGCCAAACTCTAAGTAGTGCTGGTAGGCACAGGCTTCCCCCTCCTCTAGCATCCACGGTCGATCACCGGTATCCGAAACCCTAAGCCTATAGGTCCGAGGGATGAATTACTTCTTGGCAGGGCCTTCACTTGCTCCAGGCCAAGGATGCTATCCAGCTCGGAGTGGGGAAGACGCCCCACCGTCACCCCTCAGGCCACATACTCGGCCACCACCCTCGGACTGAGCTTGGGAACCTCCTCGCCCTCGACCACCTCAGGGGACCCCAAGGACCCCTCGGCTTCCCTTGGCCTTGTAGATCCGACGCTCTCATGGGGAGAATCATCACCCCTTCAGTTGCATTCAGCGCCTACAGAAGCAGTCCTCCCCCTTAGCACCTCGACCTCGGGCCTCAGAGTATGGATTTCGGGCTCACCCAAGTAGCCTCCACTACTGTTGGTAGAAGTCTGAAGGAGCTCGCTCCCGAGGGGTCGGGGAGTTATAGCATTCTGAGCCGGAGTCTGAGTAAGACATGGCAGCAAGAGAAGTCTTTTACCTAAGAGATCTGGGAAACTCTAAGGAAAGCAGGAAAGAAAGTCGAGGTCTCTGAGAGCAATAGCACTTGGAAGCAAATGGTGAAGGAGGACTCGACTAAGTCCCCTATTTAAAGGAAAACGGACGACCTAGATCGCCCCCAATCCAACAATCACGGAGTGACCACCTCTACGGCCCAATCCAGCAACCAACACACGTCGCTAGCCTCTGGAAGACGAAACGACGCCAAACGAGTCAACCGGTCTACTCAATGAGTCATCTGGTTCGCCCAGCGCTCCTGAATCGGAAGCAACGCGACCCGGCCAACCAAACGCTTGTCTCCCATGCACGGCCCTGACATGGAGCCCATCTCGAGCACGGTTCGGACCTGTTAGTGCGGGGACCCTTAGCATGCACGGCTTGTACCCAATGCAGAAATCCATCCCCCATACGGTCCACAGCTTGTCAGCAGCAAGACCCGTCTTGCGCACGGTCAATGCACGATGACCTGCCACCAAGCGTCACCCTCGGCGACCACCAGTCGAGGTCGATGACTCATACAGATTCACCACTAAATCTGTAAAGTGCAGGACCCGGGCGCAAGCACCCCTCGTACCCGTATCCAACACGGGCCCGAACTTGTCGAAGCCAAGGTCGAGGCCTCCACGCGACGGAATCACCACAGCATTCCTCGGAGGGGGAATCGAAGCCCAAGTCAACACCACCGCAATCAAAGACTAAGTGCATCCTCGATAATCCGAAGTCGAGGCCGAGGCCCTCATCAAAGAAGGCCCATCAGCGTCTCCAAGTGAAGATAATGCACTCACTTCGGCCGAAGCCAGGGTCCTCAGCTAAGACCTCCACCACGGCCTCGAGAGTGGGGGCAAATGATGTAGGCGCTTATAGCTCAGGCCAATGGCTCACACACGTGGCGGAAGGCGACGCGTAGAACGGATCCAATGAGAGCGTGTGCAAAGCGGAGGTCGGCGCACGACGCGGGGCCAATAGCGCGGCCACACGCGACAGCCTCGAATGGTCACGCCCTCAAGGCCGGACCACATCCTAGTCGTCTGCGTCCACCTACCTCCAAGCGGTCTCAAGTATAAATAGGGGGTAACCCCCCAAGGTGAGCATCTAGAATCACTACAGCTAAGAACTTCCTTGCCTCCCTTGTGGCCTCGTCTGAGTATCCTAGCCTCAGGCCTCATCCACCTTTCGTCACACCCATACGAACTTGATAGTCGGAGCTTCCGCCTTAGGTTAGCACCCGGGGCCTCTAACATTCCCTTTCTCTTCACAGGTCTGACCTACAGGCCCTCAGCCACAACGGACCTCGAACTTATCAGCCAGCCCTCGGCTCCGAAGCAGATTTACCCTATTGCCCTCGGCCCATCCTAGGCAGCAACACCTTCCTTTCACAAAATCTCCTTGATTTAGTGCAATGATGGTGGGAAAGGTTTGCCTAATCCTGAGAGACAACACTTTTCCTATGATCTTGTACAAGCTATTCACCAAGCTTATTGGTATAAAATCTCTTGGATGGACAGCATCACTCTTCTTGGGAATAAAAACAAGAAAGGTGGTTCGGCCCCGGATTTATAACTCCTCTCTAGAAGAATTCATTGAACACCAATTGAATGCCCTTCTTCAAAATCTCCCAACAATCTTGATTAGAATGCCATCGTGAATCCATTTGGTCCTGGAGCTTTTGATTTGTCCATAGAAAACACCATTTCCATTATTTCTTCCACTTGAAACTTCCTTTCTACCATTTTTTGATATCCTCCGCTAACCTTGGCCACTCTAGACCTTCTAACCAAACTTTATTTCCTAGAGGTCTTCTAAAAATTGCTTTAAAATGATCCACAAAAGCCCCAACAATCTCCTCTTGTCTCGTAAAAGTCTCACCCCCTACTTCTAACTTCGAAATGAAATCCTTCCTTCTCCTCCCATTTGTCACTGCATGAAAGAACTTTGTATTCCTATGACCTTCTCTAATCCATTTATGTCTCAATTTTTGTCTCCAACTCATTTCCTCTTGGAACAAGATGTCCTCCAATTGATTCCTTAGGGATCATCTTTGCTCCTCGTCATTATCAACAAAGGGACCCCTCTCTTCTTTCGAGTCTATTTCCTCAATTTGCTCAATCAACGGTTGCTTTATTTCTTCAAGTTCCCCAAACTCCATAATGTTCCAGTTTTTAATTTTAACTTTCAAATCCTAGAGCTTCTTATGGAAACTCATTCCTTGCCAATTGACCCTGGGGACAATTTCGTCCCACCATTCCTTTACCTTCCTAAGGAATCCTAAATGGCACACAACCACATATTTTCAAATCTAAAAGGAGCTGGACCCGCACTTCCCAACTCCTTGCCAACAAGGATCAGCCAATGGTCAGAAGTTACTCTAGGATCAACCACATATCACTACATGAAAGATGTTCCTTTTGTCAAGAACTTGCTATGACCACCTCATTGAACCAGAAAAGGAACCTAATCTGGTTCAATGACAACTAGATGGTTTTAGACTTGAGTTGTTTTAAACTAGGTAAAACTGGAACCAGGCCCCTTTCCTGTTTGATGTCCAGTCTGGTTATCACAGCATTTTTGCATGTGTGTGTTTGGTTTTGGAACTGGACAGTTGAACAAGGAAACCTGACAGCTTTCTGGTTTGATGAGTGGTCTGGCTTTTGAAGCACTGTAGTATTATGTAATACCAATTATTGTCCCTCCAACCATCCCTCTTTGGCAGTTATTTCCATGACACACACTATTATAATTCTTCTCATTTATATGTGAACAGATATACTGATATCCATGATTATAGTGCAACTTGACATAAAATTGTTTTAATAATTTCAGCAGAGACATCAAACACTGCATGCAAACATGCAAATGTAACAAGTTAGAAAGAGAAAGAAGTATAATGGCAAATTATTCTAAAAACCCAAGGAAACTAGCTATATAGATTTCATTCTAGTTGTATCACGAATTCACGATGAGTGAAATCAAAAGAGACAAGTAGGAATTGTTTGCAGAACAAGACAATTCTGCAGCTATCCAGTTACCACTTAAAAACAGTACAATTAAACTGGAAATAGGTTTTTCCTTTTCCTTTATTTGGCAGTATTGATACTTCTAGGAGGAGATGAGTAGGATATATAACATATGTTGAAGTTGTTCTTACTCTTGATTTTAGAAGTTTGAACTCCTAAAACAAGTAAGGGAATGTATTTAGTGTTTGTTGCTGCTATTGTATAACATGAGATTGCATTATTGTCCAAGATTCATTATTATATCTTTTTTATTTCACACAAATTGGAGAATCAGTGCCAAATACTCACACCAAGTTCCTCAAGCGCTTCAATAACTTTGTAATTATCTCATCTCTTGTAGACTGACTTACATAATCAACCGTTCCAGAAACTTGTGTACAGAAGGCGTTAAGCTACAGTAGAATCAGAAATGTTAGAGATCTATGATTCAACCACATCCAGCTCTATGATGGGAACAATAATACATCTCCAGACTTACCAATTCTCTTATCCAATTAGTAGCATAATAGAGAGATAGGCACACTGCCTGCTTCTGTTTCCCAGGCAGAAACTGCCATAAAGGGCCAACACAATACTGGAATGCACAAAGCAAATGCATGTTAAAACTTAAAACATGAAACATTCAATATTCTACAAATCAACGTGCATAAAACAGCCCTTCAAGTTCAAATACAAAAGAGTAATCATCATAATATATCACACAAATACATGGAAATACTGCAACCAGACAGCCCTAGGTAGCTGAATGCCCGTAAGAACTAAGAACATTCCATAAGTGCTAATAAGTAATAACTTTGTATCTTGAATTACAGAAGAGATTAAGACAAGAAAAAGGAAAAGAACTGTTCTTTAGTGTTTAATGATATGTCAAAGGAATCAGAATCAAACAAAAAGCAAATAGGGAATCTTCAAGAAGCAGTGGGCTATTATGAGTTAATCAAGTTACTATTTACAATAATTTGAAAAGGTGAAGCCTCATCTAGAATGACCCTAATATTGAACCCATATAGAAAAACTAATAAAACAAACATGAAAAACACCATTGAACCCATATATGTAGTAGGAGGAAGAGAAACATCCTGGGTTCTAAGGTTTCTGGTTAGACAAGCAAAAACCTTGACTACAAGTATTCATTAGCAAAATTTATGACCAAATATTAGTAGTCAATGAACAGATACAAGTATTTGGGACTACCTAAAATTTATGACCAAAGAAGTTCATACCTGGATTTTGAAGGGATGGGAGATCCATCATATGGATGGCCGAACCATGCAGTGTGGCTGGGCAAAATTTCAAAAATTTCTTTCCCCCATCTGAGAATCCTATACCCTAATTTAGAAAAATTGCATTTTTCAAGGTTCGCTCTTGAAACAAATCAAGCCAAATCTGAAACCAAAAGGAAGCATGTAGGGATATACTTGATACGGAATAGCAGTAACTCCCAACGTAGGTGTTCATGCCCAAAGAGATTACCAAATCCGCCTCCACTGAAGATGACACAGCAAATGTTGAGGCAGGATTAGCAAGAACCTATGATTCTTCAGTAAGAATCGTGTAGGGTTGTGCGAGCACAACTTCAGATTGTTTCTTCACCAAGAAACAATACCAAGAACAGTTCTTGATCACTCCAAGAGGTGGAGGTCGAACTAGGCAGGGCAACAAGAGCAAAGGGAGAAAAAAGATTGCAAAAAAGAAGTGAAGTTTCTATAGAATTTGCCCCCTTATTTATAACCTTCCCTGGATCAGCTTCCTAATCCAATTAGGAATGACTTTCTTGATCCAAATTTGATATTTCGATCTAGATCTCAAGTGGATAAGACTTATCTTATCCAACTGCTAATCCTAATCAGATTATAAACCCAAATTCGCCCATTTAACTAAATCACTTAAGCCCTGTTCGAAATGAGCCTTAGGCCCATTAAGTCACACTGCTCACTTTACCCTTTAAATGCTGGCTAGTTTGTCTCTCTTTGTATGGCGTGGGACCCTAGCATTGATCTACACATCAGTCACATGGGTTCAGCCCAGCCTTTGTTACAAGGCCTGGCCGAATTCACTGCAAAACACACTGAACCCTTGAGTCCATCAGTATGGGCTCTCAATGGGCCCAACATTTACACTAAATGGTCCTTGGGTCCAGCCATCTTGTGAAAGCCCAAGGACTGTGGGCAGATGCAAGATTATCCCATCAGGTATAACCCTCAATGGTCTTACACTTAACATCTCAACCCTTAATGATCATACACTTCCCGACAAGAGAGGACCTCTTCATCGGCTGCAATGTACAGTGTTGCACTCTCTACTCACATGAATCCCAGGAATTAAAACTTTTTTGCAAACATTTTGTGAAACCATAATATATATGTATATCTCTATATAAATATATTTTGCAAAAAACAAATCTCAACAATTTGAAATCAACTACCGGCAGTTTAGGTTTCCATCAGAGAGAGTGCATTCCCCGATCATTCACTTTATCCGATAAAGGGGCTAATTCTGTCACTATGATCACCCACTAGATGAATTCTCAGATTGCCCCAACATACCCAGGTTTTGACCCCTTCTAAGGATCTCACTGATTGGCGTCTCAAAGGCAGCCCAATTAGACACCTAGTGTAGTACCATAATCGAGTCTAGGGGTCAGGTGTAACATTCCAATTTTTGCCCATCTTATAACCCCCAAAAGCATGAATCGAAGCCAAATCAATGGTAGAGATCAAGCGCCGCTCTGACGAAGCTCGGGAAGACCAATCGGCGCGACTGTTACTGCACGCACGAAGCCTCGGGAACCGAAGCGACGATCTTGACAAGCAACAGTAAAGACATTAATTGCCCCGGTCCACCCTAAAGCACCGACCCAACCAACACTACAGACACCCACGGTCCGCCTAAGACCACCGGTCCAACTAGCCTCTCGGGTCTCCTCAAGACGCCCAATGATGGACCCTGACCAAAGGAGGCGTTGCACCCCAACCGGGCACTCCACTCTTCAACTTCGGAACTAGGGAGTGGTGTTCGGATTTCGAAATTTCAAGCACAAGTTCCTCAGTCGAAGAACGAAGAGCCCTTCCGCGGCGCAGCACCGCCGAGCATCAGAGAGGCCCAGACTTCGGATAGCAACTCAACTCCTCGGCACCTGGCAGGAGTAAGTGACCGCACAATACCTCGGCCGAGCACTCCCTCTCCTCGACTCCAGAACTGGGGGAGTGGTTTTCGGATTCCAAAGCTAGAATTCTTGAAGTTCCATAGCCAATGATCGAAGAACTCCTCAGCCACAACGCACCTTGTGCGGATCCCAAATTTTGACAAGCACCGAGGAATACTAAGTGGATCAGACGCTCAACCACACTTCAATTTGGAGTTCCTCAGCCGAGCAACAAAGCACCCTGCCGCGCTAAACCTCGGTCGAGCACTTCATTCCTCGACTTCGGAACTGGGGGAGTGGTGTTCGGGTCATGGTTGAGCTGGCCTCAGGCGACACGTGGCCGCCCAATCATCACCTGGTCACCCCGGCCACGTCGGCACCAACCGACCAGCTCCGCGGTCCCGGCCGTGCTACGCTATTACAGTAGCCCCCCATCTTATCTACTCAGCCACGCCAGCTACACATCACGCGGATAAGCACGACCAAGGATAGAAGGAGGGATGAGGACAACTCCACTGGGGAATAGGACTCTATCCCAGAGACCTCGACAATTAACCTCATCCCAGCAACCCCAGAAGCCCAATCTGACCAAGACATAGATCTCTGGCTATAAAAAGGTATCTCCCTCTCAAGGTGAGGGATTCCAACTTCTAGCACTCATACTGTTACTCTGCTCGGACCAGTACCCTTATTGCTCGACCCGACCATCCACCACCTTCTACTGACTTGAGCATCGGAGTGCCTACCTGGGGATAACTCCTCGGGCCTCTGACTTCCCTTTCTTGATCACAGGTCTTGAAGCGCAACTTCGTCCTACCACCTCGGCTCCGCCCTGTTGGCAAGGACTATCTAACTGCCTTCCTCGGTTCATGCACCACCTCGGATCGAGCAGCGTCACAAAGCACAAAAACAAAATTATGTAATTTAACATTTATTTGTTGTCGTGGCCAATGTGCCATTTCTAGTGATGTGATAAATACCTTTAGATAGCTGAATACTTTGCACCTAACACATACCAGGGTAACACTATTTATTTAAAAACCCAATGCCTCACCTTAGGTGAAGGAAGATGTAAAGGACAGCCAAGTAATGCATCAATGCCTCCGAGAGATCCTTGGTTAGTCAACCTCTCCACCTATTCATCAAAAATAGAAAAGGAAAAATCAATTCCAATTTCAAAATTTTTATCGTGCTCTTATGAATGTCCCCAAAGTAATCAAGGGAAGCGCATGCTTACAACAGATAGTAAAAGAAAGTTAGCACATAGAACTTGTAAAGATGATGAAGACCTGCAAACAAAATATTGCAGTGTTCAGATACCCTTAATGATGAACAATTAGTTCAAGTCATACTTCAATACAAAGAAATTGTGACAGAAAAATTACTGTAAGGAAGAAGAAACTAGTGGCAAAATGTTCAAACAGATAGGAGATAGATCACCATCCAAATTCATCCACAGTTCCCCTGCAATAGAACCAGAACACTGACTGTGATCAACTACAAAAAAATTTTGAGAACTTCAAGATGCAGACTTAATGTCTTAAAGTACCAATAGTTTGAAGTTGCAATTCTGAGACTTACCATCCAAACCACAATAGGAATCCTTGATGGGCAGTTGCCCTCCTTCAAGATCTGAGAGAAACATTGACTCAAACTCTCCTACATGTTTGCCAATCCTGCAATATATATTTCAACATGACGCAATTAGACACACAGAAATATCATCCAAATAGTTTAAACAAAATAAGCAAACCAGTTAAATGCATCCTAAATTGCAACATAAACTATTTCAATGATAGACTATTATACTATCCATAATTGCTCACCATTCCATAATTGTTGGCTTAAGAGGTGTAGATTCCAATAGTTGAATCAGTTCATCATAAAACAAAATCAATGGCAAGGGCAATAGTTTGCAAGAATCCAGAGCTGTTTTCAGAAGTTCCATAGCCTCCTCAGAGTTTGTTTTCTGTAAAAGGGTATAAAAGAATAGTCAATGCATGCTATGCTCTATAATTAAAAGGGACATAGATTAGAAGACAAACTTATTTAGCAATGCATGACATTCAATTATGACAAGCAGAAAAGATAAGACCATAGTTGTCACTTGTCCAGGTGACACTTAGGCAATACTCTTGAAAGATCACCTCACCCAACCACCTACATATTTATATGCAAGACACCACATATTTTTATTTTTTTATTTTATGTTATGTTATTAATAGTAGTACAATAGATATTATTGGACTAACTTATTCATATTGTGGGTTTATAGTATTAACACTGTTATTCTTATACTAGTTTCTTTTTATTATTTTCTTATTTGTTTGGATTCAATCAATACACAAGTCAGTGACATAGTCTTGAACCTTTTTAAGACTTTAAAACCTGAATAGAATAACTTGAAGATTTTATCCAATTGACAGACAAGAACAATCAAATAGGATTTCTTTCTTCTTCTTCCTAAGACAAAAACAAGGGCTCAGCCCTTATGTTTTGTATGTTTCCTTTCCTTTCTTATTTTTCTTCTCATAAATATGTTGATTTTCTATCTTTTGAATTTTGATATGGGGTTTATACTTATTTCATGGGGACTATGGTGATTATTAGTTAAAAATGACTGCTTATTACTATTACCCTAGGATTTATATATATTTATTTATTTTAAAAAATTCGTTGCCTTGGCAACTAGGTGACAAGGCGCAAGATTATGGTTTTTTTCACTACTAAGATAAGATTATGGCTTATTTGTCAAATTGAAACAAGGCATAAAATATTGGCAACTGAGGTTTTCTTAAAGCTACTTTGTTGAATTACATCCAATCCCTAGCACCAAGATACTTCAACATGCTTAACTTACCCACATCAACACAACAAAGTACTAAGACCAATACTTGATTCCACATGGATACTATTGATCGTTACCAAGACAGCTTGAAACTAATGGATTTATCCATGCTTAAACATTGGCAAGTGATGGCCTCTTAAAGCTACTTTATTGAAGTACATCCAATATCTAGTACCAAGATACTTCAACATGCTTAGTTTACCCATATCAACAGAAGAAAATACTAAGACCAACACTTTGATGCTGCATGGATACTAATCATTGCTACCACTTACCAGGATAGCTCAAAACCAATGGATTTAGCCATGCCAAACCTTGATACAGTACCAACACTTGGCACTTGGCATGAAGCACAGCAGTACTTGTAGAATATTAATGATGCTCCAAAAAATTAGCAAAAAACATCAGCACTTACCACTTCCAAACATGGTAACAATAAGAAAGAGCACATCTAATGACGAGTCAAAAACGTTGATTTTCATAGTGTTAAGATGTGTCGAATAGGGGTAGTTTAGTCTTCTTCTGTTTATTAAGTAACTTGCTTATGTGGCTGTGTTATTAGAGTTACTCTGCCCCACASTTAARTAAGGRCATTTCTGTCTTTGTAAACATGATTAGAAGCTAATATAGATTAAGGGGGTCGACTGAATGGGTTAACCATCAGATTTTCGACTGACCCCTCTTCTTCTCTTCCTCTTCTTCTTCTTCTTCTTCTTCTTCTTCTTCTTCTTCTTCTTCTTCTCCTCTTCCTGTTCGGACTACTGTAGCAGCAGTCGAAATACATAGTTTTCCTTTAGTTTATTGTTTTTATTATATTTTTATACTTTTTATGTAATTCCATACTTATTTATCATTGTCCCATGACAATGAGTTTTATAGGTTGATTTGCAATCTCAATATTTATTTATCACAATGTCCCCATTTTAAAGTGTTTATCTAGCATAGCCACTCACCATCCCCACCTATGACATAAGTCACATAACTGCTTGGATATTTCCAGAAAAACTCCCCCTTTCCTAATTGTTATGTTAATGGTCTCAAGTTATATAATAAACCCTTACCCCACAAGAGTTTTCAAACCAGGCATTTCTAGAAACCATAAGGGCCAATACCACCATCATAGGCCTTGTCCATCATGGAGCCATCTAATTATAAAAAGACAAAATATAAACAGGGTTTCTACTTTGTACACAGGGACCTTGTCAATTATAACTATCCTCTTTATGGGCCCTATAATGAAATTAAGGTATTTCCTCTCAAATCTAACTTCTCCAATCCTGATCTTCAACTAATGGGTCTTGGAGATGGAATCCTCTACCAAGACAAGATATCTTTATGAAGAGAATCTGCTCAAAATTAGTTCAGGAAAGCAATACGAACTCATTGAATGGTTTCACACTATGAAGTATCACATCCAACCTCTAAATCATTTCTTCAATCTATGAAACCAAGGAGGTTCTCATTGGTTATTCAGATCTTGGAATGAGACCTTGGTTAACAACCTCAAGTTTGTTAGCAGTTAATGCAATATTGAAGATTAACATCCTTCTTGGTGATTGGCAATATATGAGTCACTGGCTCCTAAAGAAATATAGGGGTTCCACAATGAACTCTGCACATTTCTTTCAAAAATCTATTTTGCTGTTGTTAGGTTGGAGTACTGAAGCATCCAAACTTGATGCCTCATCCTCTGAAAGCAGGAGATTTATTCCTCTCTGGCCATGATCTGAAGTTAACATGGCATCTAGATAGTAATAGAAAAATAAAATCTTTGGAAAGAATACCTTCAATGAACTAGCAGTTAGGAATGACCATTTTAGAACAAAAAAAAAATAACAAATTCAGCTTGTTCACTATGTGAACTTGAGGTGGATCTCCACCCTCATGATTGCTGCAGTATGAAAGAGCAACTGGCATTTAGTCTGAGTTATCCTTCTCTCTAGCATTCCAATCAATATTTCAATTTGCTGAATGGATGAAAAGCTGGATTGAACTATTGAAGGGAAGACTCTTTTTCCGGATTTTCCATCATTGCTTAGAAAATTTTGAATGCCAGAAACAATGCTGCTTTGGACAGCATAGCCTTCTGCTCTTCCCATCCAAGGTTCTGTTGTGTGTAAACAAGTATTTGCAACATTACAATCATTCTGATACAGACATCAGCAGGTAGCCAAGCTGGACCTTGTCTCAAAATGGTTACTTCAACATTTAAGTGTGATTGCTTATTGCTCCTTCAGTGCAAATTAGGAAGCATAATATGGCTCAATTTTTCACCAGTCATAATTTTTTGTGTCCACAAATCTCTAAAAATATTGTATCCAATACCATACCACTCACATTCAGATACGCAACGGCATTGTTTAGACATGGATATGAACAAAATATAGCACATTCAGAGACACTAAGAATACAATATGAATTCCAACATAGGTCAAAGCAAGTAAGGAGGCTGAACATTCTGAAATGACCTTGACTCCTTGAGTCCTACCTGAGATGAGGATAAACAGGTAGCATAATTTGCATCACCAAGACGGGAAACTAACTTTAAAATTCCAATTAGCCCCATCTTCTTATACTTCATATCAGGATTACCAACCTGCCTTGTAGTATTAAAGCACAGAGCAAACAAGGTAACATTAAAACTTTTTTATTAAAGGAAATCCAGACAAAAAAAAAACTAGAAACTCAACATACTGGATTGGAAAAGCACAGCAAACTGACATACAGAATCAGGTTTTATCCAACAGAAAAACCTAACATACAAACAGACCTGCTTTCTTACAATCATCAATAGTTCATTTGCAATAGAAGAGCCAAAGGAATCTGCACTGGATCGAGCAGACAGTGCCAAATGGCTAAACACCTCATAGACCTGCATATTGAAAGTGATGATGAAACAGCACATAAGATGTGTGTGTGTGTGTGTGTGTGTGTGTGTTAAAGACAACAGAGATGAAAAGCTACAGAAACCTTGTGCAGATTTCCAGTATTAAACCCTTCCAGGTAATCCAAGATACCTGAACAAGAAGAGAACATGGCTGATTTAGGCAATGCCTGAATTAGAATATGTAACTAAAGATGTGGATTAAATACCATTTATATAAGAAGAAAGTGGAATCAGTTCCTGTGCATATTTTGAGGCTAGCAGAACCATGGTCTCCAGAGCAGAATTCACTTCATAGCTAATGCCAGAACCTATATGTGCAACTAAGGAGCCAAGGACCTGGACAAAAGCACCACCAAGAAGTAAACTCAGACTGAACATTAAAAGCATAGAGGTTGGTTAAGTGACTAAAGGAATAACGGATCAATGTTGATATGCTCACCTCCTGTCTTGAGTAAGTATCAGTGAACTCTTCAAACAGTGATGTATACAAGTGAATTCCAAATTCCCTTGCTTTTTGTTCTTTGCATGACAAAAGATACTCGCACACAGAGAGGAAGGATGGGAAATAGTCCTGCAAGCACAGAATGAAGTGCCCATTTTTCTATAATTAGTCATTCAATGCAGCTCTAGATGTGTAGGAATGAAAAGTCTCTTTAACATTAGCATCCAGGACTAAGATGTGATAAAAAACAACAAACAATACCTGTACTAATTCCCTGTGACCATCAATGCACTGATCAAAAAGAGCTTCTCGAAAAAGACCTTCCATAATTTTCTTTTTGACAATTTTTTCAATACTCTTCTGTATGGGCCCGCCGTTTGCATAAATAAGCATAAGCAGCCATACATCAATTACCTTGTGATTCTCTGCTTTATCAAGGCAATTCAGCTCTTTCAGGATTTCCTGACAGAGTATCTACAGTAATAAAAGCTACCAAGAGTTAAAAATAGAGAAAATCATTTAAAAAGGAAAAATGCATGAACAAAATGAGACTAAAATCTTACATTCTTGAACCGCAAGCTTGACTGAAAAGCCTCAAGAATTGAAGCCTCAGTATTGTTCATAAGTGATTGTCCTTTGAGTTTCTTGCTCCTTGCTGTGCGGGGATCTGGAACACTCACAAATTTTAACTGCTGGCGTATCTGAGAGATTATCCTTCTAACATTTGCCGGTGTCGCAGAAAGTAGTAAGAATCTAAGCAGATATGGCATATGTTCTGCATCAATGGTCCTAATGCAGGACAATGCTATGGTGATCGCCTTCAAGAAGATAGAAATTTACAGTCCATTAGAACATGTGAAGCTAGTCAATTTTGAACGCTTAGATTTCAACAGATTTTACCAGCTTTCTCTTTGTTTCTCAAATAACACAAAATCTAAAAGAAAATAAATATGCATATAGAATAGCAGAAAACCTGCTCCTGCAACTGCTCATCCAAATTAAGATTGGAAAAGGAATCTACTACAGGCACAATAACCCCAGAATCCTCTTGTAGCATCTGCTCCAGGGCAGCAACCAACGTTTTGTTATCCTGGTCTCCAACAATTTCCGGCAGGGAACCAATAATCTCTTTCTTAAGATGGAGGGGACAAATTGAAAGAACTTCCAGCAACTTATCCGTAAAAACCTTAGAATCAACGAGGAAATCGAGCCACCGGAAATGGTTCACGATGAGCCTAGCAACATCCTCCTCGAGTGAGGGAGCGCAACCTGTGTCTACATCGAAGTACTCCGGGAGCTTCTCCAGTAGCATTTGTTGAAGCTGCAACTGGATGGACGGTACCATTAAGAGAATCCGAACCAGACTCTCGCCTTGGGATGAACCATCGCGAGATGTAGGTATAAGCAACCTAGAAAGAGCATATATATATAAGTGTGATGTTAGTTGAGTTATTGGTGGTTTGAAGAAAACCGGGACGAATATATACGAAGAACTAACCAACCTTCGCAGATTTTCAGGCTTTTGGATGTAAGAATTGAAGCCAGAAAGGAAGTCAGAGACAAGGGAAGCACCGGTCGCGGAGGAGAAGCGGTGGTCGAGATGACGACGGAGTTTATGGGTGTCTGCAGGGAGGCATGGAGGACCACCGGGATTGTGGAGAGTACAACCTGCGTCCGCGAGCACCGAAATCATCTTCTCGATGAGAATTTCTTCTTCGTTTCTTCTCCCTTTCTCTATACATTTGCTGCTTTTGTTCTTGTTATTGTCGGTGTTGGAGGTGGGAGAGGAGGAGGTGGATTTAGAGGAGGTTCTGGAAGGCGCGTCAGTGGAGACGGCCGGAGCAGCGGCGGCGATTGGCCTCTTCCTAGAAGAAACTTGATGAAGGAAAACCATTTCGATTCAATCGAATTCTAACTTTCTAAGGCTCAAGCAGTAGCGGAAATTGAATATCGTTATCGGCACTTGACTTGAGAGAAGCGAACCGAGGAAGGCGTGAAGAACTGAGAATTGAGAAACGAGCACATATGACTCAATGAGAAAACCCCGCCAATTTTTCGAAACAATGATTGAAAACTTGAAAACAAGCATAAAATTCTAAAACTACCTTATGGTTGAGGTTTAGATAATTAAGCTCCTTTATGGTTTATATTGTGTTAAAATAATGGTAAATCTCTTAAACTATCCTCCTATTCAGCAAATTACCAAAATATATTCTTACCGTTTAGATATAGTCTTGCGCTACCAAAATATATTCTATTAAACATTAATAGAAAAAAATAAAATATTGAATTTTCCCTTTACTATTCACCAAAATTTCAAAATAATATTAGACAGTTATGCCCTTACCTCCAATTTGATTGACGTATCTTCTGACATTTATTGTAAATGAATAAAGTACATAATTGATTAAAGTCATTGTAGTGTGTTTCTATGTAAATACCCTTAAATTGGACACTTATGAAACTCGTGTTAGTTTAGAAACTTTACAACTGTTAGATAGATCAGAGGAGATTTATCCTGCCAAGATTGACATTAATGTGCCGCCAAGTTGGTTGGTGTAGCTTGTCTCAGCTGCCAGGGTAACACTTGAGGTACATGGAGTGTAGGTTTTCTTGAAACCCTGAACCGGACCAAATTTCAATATTGCCCTAGACCTTGGAGAATGGGCAAAACTAGAATGTTACACCTGACCCCTAGACTCGATTATGGTACTACACCAGGTGTTGGATTGGCCTGTCTTTGATATGCCAATCAGTGAGATCCTTAGAGGGGGTCAAAACCTGGGTATGTTGGGACAGTTTGAGAATTCACCTGAGTGGATGATCATAGTGACAGAATCAGCCCCTTCGTCGGACAAAGTGAATGATCAAGGATTGCACTCTCTCTGATGGAAACATAAACCGTCGGCAATTGATTTCAAACGTTGAGATTTGTTTTTGCAAAATATATTTATATAGAGATATGCATATATATTTTATGGTTTCAAAATGTTTGCAAAAGGTTTTAATTCCCGGGATCCATGTGACTAGAAAGTGCAACACTATTCCTTGCAGACGAGGGAGAGGTCCTCTCTTGTCGGGCAGTGTTTGATCATTATGGGCTGAGAGGTTAAGTGTAAGACCATTGAGGTAATACCTTATGGGTTAATCTTGCATCTGCCCATAGTCCTTGGGTTTTCATAAGGTGGTTGGACCCAAGGACTCAAGGGTTCACTATCTTCTATAGTGAATTCGGCTAGGCCTTGTAACAAAGACTAGGCTGAACCCATGTGGCTGATGTGTAGATCAATGTTTGGGTCCCACACCATACAAAGAGAGCCAACTAGACAGCAGATTAAGAAGTTAAGTGAGCACATAATCTTAATGGGCCTAAAACCCAATTCAAACTGGGGTTAAGTTAGTTAATTAAAAGGAGGCAAAATAAGATTTATAATCTGATTAGGATTAATTGAATGATAAGATAAGTCTTATCCATTCAAGAGTCCATATCCAAATATCAGATTTGGATTAAGGAACTCTTTCCTAATTGGATTAGGAGGCTGATCCTGAGAAGGCTATAAATAAAGCGGGTGAATTCCTTAGTTATATATAATACAACAATCTGTAGAATTCTTCCCTGTTCTTTCCACCCCTACCCAGTTCGATCTCCACTTGTGGGAGTGATCAAGAATTGTTATTGATATTGCTTCTTGGTAGAAGAAGCAATCTGAAGTCGTGCTCACCAGCCCTCCACTCCGTTCTTGCTGAAGAATTCGGTTCTTGCTGAAGAGCCACCCTGTTGATCCTACTTCACTACACACTGTGTCATCTTCAGTGGAAGCGGGTTTTGGTTTTCTCCTTGAGCGTGAACACCTTCATTGGGAGTTACTGTTATTTCGTATCAAGTATATCCCTCTCCTCCCTTTTGRTTTCAGATCTAGTATGGTTTTGGATCAAGATTGATCATTAAAAATGTAGTTTTCTAAAATAGGGAATGCGATTCACAAATGGGAGAGAGAGAAAATTTTTGAAAATTTGCCCAACCTTCCTGCAGGATTCGGCCATCCATATGATGGATCTCTCATCCCTTCAAATAAATTGACTATATAATTCTCTTCTCGATGAACATGATTCCATTCTCGGTCACCTCTTCGAGCGCAAAACCTACCCAGAGCTTTGTATTTTCCTGCCTTGCTTCATTGAAAACCCAACCGATGAACTTTGTATTTTCTGGCCTTGCTTCCTTTCATAATCGTTTCTGAAAGGAATGGACAAAATAAACTAAACCTGGGAAAGGCTCTAAGCCCCAACAATACATCCACATGGTTTGGGAATGCTGAAGTCACTGGCCTCCCATTCATCTCCATTCCGTCGGCCAGCACCACCGCTGCTGCATCAGCTGCCTTCCTCCACTGCTCTGTCTCCCATAAAAACTATTGCTTTCCAATTTCCCCTTTTCATGTGCAACTGACATCCGATGGCGTGGAATCAATCAACAGAAACAATAAACAAACCGTAATCTCCTTTTGAAACTCTCCTCGCCATCCCCGTAGCTGTCCTTCATGCCACCACTGGTTCCCTCATTGACTCCCACGTTGCCATTCTCCGGTTCCTCCATAACCATCCTCCTGTCAATCCCAATGAGAAGGTTGGATTCTCAAAACTCGTGTAGTGGCTCTTATCCTTCGACTTCTTCGTTCTTGTCTATGAGTGTATTAATATTGTCTCCATTCCCCTCTTTGCTATTCCTTCTCTCTTCACTTAAGCTACCGGTTTTGCCACCCCCTCCACTCCTGCGTCACTTCGACTCTCTCCGTTATTTCGTTGGTCCATCACAACAGAGAACAAATTGTCCCTAAACTCTCCATGTGGACCAAATTCAACTGATACCTAACTTCCCCTATGCTTAATTGGTTGAGAATCGTTGTTGGCATTGGATTGGTTATTGTTGCCGCACGGATTAGCCGGGGGCAACGATGTAAATTCACTCTTCAGATTCTGGGTGTTGGCCGAGGACTTCGAGGCCTCAGAAGAGGTGGGCCGAAGCCACGAACCGCAAGCCAAGGTGAGGTATTTCTTTCGAGGACCATGGTAGCCGAGGACTGCAGGCCGAGGCGAAGTCCCTGGTGACCAGAGATACTGCAAGACTGGGAATGTCAGAGGCCTCGGGCGAGTACCCGAGGCAAGGGCTCCGACGCTCAAGTTAGTACGAGGTGTAAAGTAGGAGAGGGTGCAGGAGAGGCATTGGCAATAATCTTCGGATGCACTAGATCTCCTAGAATAAATGCTAAGGAGGCAAGGTAGGTGCAGGGAGTAAATGAGTGAGTTGTGTTAGGATTTTTTGTTATGGATCCCCTTTAAGGGGTAGTTACCTCTTATTTATACTTGAGTGTGCTGGAGGTAGGTGAAGATGAACACCCCGGATCAGAGCCCTACGAGTTCAAGCTGCAGGCCCTAGTGGGTATGTCTGACCATCATGTGGTTGGCTCCGTATGAAGGTAGCAGGGCTCCCACCTACGGTGGCTGACGTTGTCAGGCGTTAGTGGGCTGGGCCAAGCTAACCCACATCACTTGCCCCCCACTCCCGAGACCGAGTAAGGCCTCAGCTTTGGCTGGTAATGAGGGTAGTAGTCGAAATAAGGCATCGGCTTTGGTCATTGGGAGTAGTGGTCGCTACGCCTTCGGATTCGTCAACCGAGGGATGTCTTGTAGTGGTGTCGTTTTCGCTATTTGCATCGTCCCTCTTCGATTCAGAAATGCATGTGATGTGGATGCCTCAGCTTGGTGGAGGTCTTTCGTATCGTGCACGGGCAAGTCACATTAGGGGGGCTACCATGCAGGGGACGATCGTCCCAGTAGTCGTGCATTTTTCGGGTTGAGCAGTCTGCCCGGTGGTTTGCGATGGGCGGGCCCTGTGGTTCGCTCGACGGGCTGCTGCGGGCAATCTTCACGGTCCACCCAACGTCGTTTCGCTTTCCGAGGGCACATGCTAGAAGGTGCAATGGGACTGTTTCGCAGGAGCGGAGGGCTCCCACATCCGTTGGATTCGCGTCGATCTGAACCGTTGCTTTGTGCATCATTTCGTCTTCCGAGGCTGAACGCCGGGTGGGGCATCACAGTTGGACGGTGGCAGTGGATTTGTTTCAACCGTCGGATTCAGAGAGATCCAGGCCGTCCATTTTCTTTTAAATAGGGCCTTGTGTTAGATAGTGTATGCCCTTAGCTCCAATCAGATTGATGTGCATTATGACACTTATTGTAAATGAATAAAGTACATATTTGATTCATGTTATAATGGTGTGTTCCTGTGTAATACCCTTAAACTGGACACTTATGAGACTCGTGTTAGTTTAGAATGTTCACAGCCGTTGGATAAGTTTGGGGAGATTTATCCTGCTAAGGCTGACACTGATGTGCTGCCAAGTGTTGGGGTGACCTTTCTCAGCTGCCAGGGTGAGACCCGAGGTACATCCAGTGTAAGTTTACTTGAAACCCTGAACCGGACCAGATTTCCAGTATTGCCCTGGACCTTGGTGATTAGTGGGCAAAACTGGAAAGTTATACCTGACCCCTAGATTCGATTATGATACTGCAGTAGGTGTCGGATTGGGTTGTCTTTGATATGCCAATCAATGAGATCCTTAGAGGGGTTTAAAACCTGGGTATGTTGGGACAATTTGAGAATTCACCTAAGTGGGTGATCATAGTGATAGAATCAACCCCTTTGTCGGACAAAGTGAATGATCGAGGAATGCACTCTCTCTGATAGAAACATAAACCGCCGGCAATTGATTTCAAACGTTGAGATTTGTTTTTGCAAAATATATTATATAGAGATATACATATATATTTTATGGTTTCAAAATATTTGCAAAAGGTTTTAATTCCCGAGATCCATGTGAGTAGAGAGTGCAATACTATTCCTTGCAGCCGAGGGAGAAGTCATCTCTTGTCGGGCAATGTATGATCATTATGGGCTGAGAGGTTAAGTGTAAGACCATTGAGGGTAATACCTGATGGGCTAATCTTGTATCTGCCCACAGTCCCTGGGTTTTTATAAGGTGGTTTGGCC